ACCCAAGTGCGCAAGTGCACGTAGCAAGTAATAAATGGGATTATTAGTGCCTAGATTATCGTCCCCACGAGGATATAACTCTAATTAATGCCTTAAACTATTTTAAAAAGAATGAAAATGAAAAGAAAAGTTAGTAATTGACCTGTTTGGTCAAACGTTCCCTATTGTCTTGACAACGTTCCTCAAGAACAGTAGGTTTAATATGATAGCAAACAGCTCCTCGCGTCATTATATATGAAATCTTTCTTGATGAAAGAAGGAACGACAATATTCATTGGAGATTTGTAGAAACAAGATTGAATAAAGCAGAAATAACAACAGTAATAACAGTAATTAAGAGACAACAATATGGATGGTTTTAAAACAGTTTTAACACAAGGAACGGATCCACTGTTCCATTCTTAAATAGCTATTTTCTCTACTCAAGACTTATCACTTTTGTATTTGTTCCAGTCTCTTCATTGCCAACTCTGATTCCTCAGCTCATGGACTAAATGGCTCACAACTTTCCATATTCCTATGGCTCCCTTGACTCCCAGACAAATCAGGCAGAAGCTTCTCCATCTTCTTCCCCATCATTTTAAAAATTTCAGCAATCCCAATTTGAGATTTTCTCCTTGATGCAAGGGGGATTGCTAGGATGGGGGAGGCTGGCTTCTTTTTCCCCTTCTCGTTGTTGTTGTTGCCAGAAGCTAGAGGTTCTTTAGGTGCTTGCCTGATTACCACCTCTTTTGTTTTTGAAGTAGAGGGGGGATGTTGTAGTTTGTTCCTCCATCAGTGGAGGAACTTCCAAGCCCTCCTCTTTTTCCAGAGCCCTAGCAAGGGCCTCGTCTCTAGACTTCGGTCTGATTGGCTCTAGGCCAAGTGGGAGATTGTTAGTATATAGGTAACCTAGAGACAATTTGAGAGTCAAGTGGACCTCTATACTTCCTTATTGTTACGAATAAATTTTATGAATAAAAGCATTCTTTATCTTGTTTCATATTGCATGTCTCAAATATTATATATGACTAATTGGATAAAGCTCTTGGAATGGAACGAGTGTCACATTGAGGATCTGTGATAGGGATCACGATCATGAGGGCACAATAACACCACATGTCCATTACTAGAAATATATTCCTAGTCTAGAGATATTGAGAATAGGCATTGGTGATCTCTGGTAAGATTAGCACGACTCAGCTACTTGCATGGAGATGCAAGGTGGAGTACTCGTGAGCTACAGATATAGACATGTCTTAGCTGACTCGTGGGTGGACCTATTAGATAATAGCTCACACTGAGTTGACCCATAAAATGACACTAAAAAAAATCTCATAGATAGTATCAATAGGTAATGTCTCTTATTATTTAGGTGTGTCTTTTCTTAGACCTGATGTTGTCACACAAACCTGTGCTCTGGAAGGCTTGCTTTGATTGTATACATTGTCTGCCTGAAACATGGAGACTCATAGGTATTCTCTTGGCATGCCCTAGGGACTCAAGGCAAGTGTGGTAAGATGAAAGAATTTGTCAAGCTCTGTGAGAGATTAGGTTATCTGTATATCGGTGAAACTGGGATGACATTTACGAGACTTGGGAATCTATGCATAGTAAAGGAATCATAAGATGGCTCGCTTTTTAGAGTCCATAAATGAAGATTTCCTATTTTGGAAAAAGCTAACCCTAGACCGTAGGGGTTGATACGTTTTCCTTAACCTAGGTCAATGGGGCAGATAACTCAGACAAAAGGACAATTCACATGGTAAAGAAATAGGTATAATAGGTTGGTGATTTGATGAACTCAACTAGCTATGGACAACAAAGCTTTGCTAGTGCTCTGTGTTGTCATTAGATGGATTGGACCTAATAGGCCCAAGCCTATTTATGTCAGTGGCTATGTTAGGCCTGATGGATCACACACAAACACCTTAAGTTGTCTTGAATTCTAGCATATGTGGTCTGGGCCCAATAAAGGTTAATGGGCCTAAGTTGGTAAATCTCACATGTTTGGCCAAGAGAGGGTAGGTAGCATCATGGGCCAAGTTGGACTTGATCCATTATGTAACCTAATTAATTTAAATGTTGAATTAATAAAATTAATTTGAATTCTAATTTTGAAATTTGAATTGGAATTTAAATATAGTCATTAAATTAGATTTAATAAAAATAGAGAAAATAAAGGAAACCAATCAATTAGTTTGATTGACCAAAATTAAGAAAACCAATTAATTAAATTAATTGGCTGAAATTGGGAAAACCAATCAATTGGATTGATTGGATAAAGTTAAGAAAATTACCCAATAAGATTGAAATTTGATTAGGACGCCGATTTAATCTAGTTTTAGGTTAATGAGGCGCCACATATATAGTCCCCTTATTCCTTATTTTTTGTAACTCTTCTTTTTTAATTTTCTCCACCGAAATCCTAGCCAACACACACATCAGTGTAATGACTATCTCTCCTTCTCTTGGGATCACCACATGCGCCACTCACTCTCTTCTCTTCTCTTGAGTCTAGCAACCTCCATTGAAGGGTATTAGGTGTTCGAAGAAGCGTTCTTCTCTTACAAGACAACAAGGTGGTGTGGATTTCCATCGGATGACTTGTGTTCTTCAAGTCTGAAGAATTGATCAAGAACACATTTGATCATGAATATTAATCCGAATAAAGATATCAACTTTAAACCCCTAATATGTATATTGCATGATTCTTGGGTTGAACATGCTTGAGGGTGGGCAAAGGTTGCCTCTTCCGCATAATTTTTTTTATATTTTTCCCTCATTTATGTTCATGGCCTACATGAGGCAACTTTTAGAAAGAACAAAAGAAAATGGTGTTAAGGCAGGGAGAGGGGGAAATTAAGAAAAAGGGGGGAGGGGTTGGAAGAGAGAGTGGTTTTGGTACTTTTAAAATACATAGGGTTGAAAGGACAAATTTCCCCTTGGTTCTTCCCTATATTACATCCTTTAATCTTAACCATATAGTTGACTTTCTCTTTTGGTTTAGTTAGTCCCTTTGGGTCAATGTTACATTTATTTTATTTTGGGTCTCTCTTATTTTGCATAATTTGCACATTTATTCTCTCTTTTGGCTTTCTACCTAATTTAACCCTCTAATTATACATTAGTACTCTAATTAATACAATTTAATCATTAGGGTTATTACGTCTAGCAGCTATAAAAGACTAGTAACTTAATTGGGCATCTATATAAACACTTCTTAGGGGTTCAGAACAAAGGATGAACACTAAAAAACATTAGATTGCTGAAAATCAAAGATTGAACCCTTTTAGGCTTTATTTGCATATCCTTGAGAAAAAGCTCAATATCTCTTTCATTTCTTAATCTTTTTCTAATTGGTTTTGTAATTCTGAATGTGGGGAGGCTACCCTACATCTGTTTTAACAAATTGGATTGTTGTAACTCGTTTTGGTGAAGTGGAGTGATCTTATAAGGGTATAGGTTGAGATTGATCAAGATTGGATCAAGATTCATGTAAAATTCTTTTTTACTATGGTTTTTCAAGCACCTGTTGAAATCTTGATGATAGTGGAATGATCGGCATCAATCTGGATGTAGCTCTCAAGTGGTTAGATGGTGAACCAGGATAAATTTGGTGTTTTCTTCTCTTTTTGATTCTGCTGCTATAACTCATTTTTGTATGTTACACATGTTATTTTGGTTCTGTTTAAAGGTTAGGAATTGATAGTTTTCTGTTTATTTCGTTTTGTGTTGTTTTCTTAAAAATGGGTATTAATTTACTTTGTTTCTTGCAAAAAAAAGTAACACAATTCACCCCCTCTTCTGAGATTATATTAGTCATCTTTTCTTTACAATAATCTCCAATGTCTCCAAATACAAAGGAGATGTTGTCCATTTTATTTCAAAAAGACATGAGACGTAACTAGCATTACACGATTTAATTGGATTCGAACTAATTAGTGAATTGCAATACATTAGGAAAGGAAAAAAATTATATTCATGTTTCGGATTAAGACTAAATGTGATTCAATTAAGTTTAGCTTCCGCATTTATTTGATGAAATATGTTGCGCTTAATACCATATGCATGATAATACACCAACGGCCTATGATGTGTTACAAGAAGCCCTCGTTCTTGACTACTCAAGAATAGGGTAAGTATATTAAAGTGTGTTTGTTGTGATGTTTTGACTTTGGGTCAATATTCGATGTGAGATATGAATTATTGATTCGAATTTCATGCTTGAAATAGGTGATTATGGTGGGCAAGTAATTTTGGAAGTGTTGTGGATTTACTTTCTTGAAGTACAAGTAATCTTAGAAGGAAAGCTACAAGAGGTAAATTCATGGTTTAAGAGTTTTACACCCTATTGTTGTTCCACCAGGCTCCTATGGGAGTTATGGTTTTATATTTGGATGATTCAATGGTGTGTTAGTAACCAAAATATTTAAAATGAAACAAAGGTTGTTATCAAAAAAAAATTAAAAAAAAATGAAACAAAGGTAACTGATGGTAACACATAAACTAAGACATTTTATTCTATGAAGATAAACTCTAACCTAATGTGAATAAGATTTATACGAGGATATTATAGTCCATGCTGCAAACAAGCAATTATTTTACCACATTCAAACTTCGTAATAATCCACTTTGGTTCATCTATGTATCCTTTATAGATTGCCACTAAAATTCGTGTTTCCGAACTCCAAAGTAGAAACATCATTGGTCCCTAATTTTATTTACTTACTCAACCATTTAAACAGTTAGTCCCATTATTTTATTGTATTAATAAATTCATGATCAATCGGAAATTAGACATTAAGTATCCTGAACTTATAGTTAATGCTTCAGTCCCTCAATCGGTGAACATTTGGCTAATCTCTAATCTAGACTTAAAAAAATAAAGTTTCAAATTTTTTTTTTGAGACAATTCAGAAACAATATTAAGCATTGGACAAAAACTAATAATAGTCATAGTAATATAAGGCACGAATGTCCATTTATTTAAATTACATAACTTTTGAACGTATAATTTAACACACTCTTCAAGACATCATGACATTCATCTTCAATTTTATTCCATGCAAACAAAAGATCAACATAAAAAGAAAACATCCTTAATTTTCATGTCAAACTTCACACTGATTATTTAGATAAGCACTTATCCCCAAGCCAAGCCCATTATTTCTGATTTGATATTTTTTCATAACTTTTGGAGCTATGCCTTGAGAAGATTAACATCAACATCTTTGGTAACTTTGGTGAAATACTCCATGTAGCCAAATGGAGGGTCAACATCCTCGTTGGTCTTCTCATATTCAATAGTCCATTTAACAATAGCACCGCCATCATTCCTAGCAATAACTTGCAAGATGAGCCTAAAGATCTTATAGTTCTGATCGATTTCTCCATCGAAGAGGATGTATGTGATTGTTTTGTTCCTTTCGTCAATGGATTCAATATTCTCCTTACATGTTGTCACCTTGCCATCTATTTTTCACAAGCCATATAATTAAGATCAATAAAAGAAACATTGTATGAGAAATATAGAAAAATAATTAATTAACCCAATTTTTTACCTAATATAATTGAAGGGTTTATCATTTTCCTATCAAGTAGAGATGAATTTATTACCGACAACTTCAAAACTACGTCACATTGGAGATTGAGTGAATTAAGGAAGGATATTATAAAAAAATTATTTATTTTTTATTATATGAATTTAACCAAATACTCTACATTAATTTCTCCAATTCCAAAATGATAAACTTTGAGATTGCTAGAGATAATTTTATCTTAAATTGATAGAGAAAACATAAACTCATAATTTAAATACAAAAGTATTTACCTATGGTATAAGTCCAGTGCTTTTCCGAGCCAACGCTATGCCAGTCCCCTTGATGCAGCTTGGTTCCATGAACTCTATCACAGAGGTTTTGAATATGGTGGAGTTGCTTTGCGAAGAGATTGAAGAACTTATCAGCGGATGAATGGACACCAAGTTCAATACTAAGTTTACCAGTTAGTGCCATGACAAGGAAGAAATAAGTAATAGAAGCGAGAAGTGTAATAAACGAAGGATGAGATATGAGAAGAGTATGCTCCCTTGTTGGGCCTTAAATAGAAAATAGCTTACCCACTATACCCAACAAATAATTAAATTATTGGATCATCACATAATAGTCTAGCTCCGTAATTAATTGTATATGTCAATTATTTGAGATCTTACTTTAATAAATATCCTTGTGAATCCCTTATTGCCGACGTAGCTTTCCTGTCTTCTTTTTTTTATGTTTGGTATGAGAAATTTTTTATTACAGGAGAAAAAAAATATCCCAGAATATGGTGGGAAATTTGTTTGACTGATAAATTATAAAAAGGTGTTTGGTAGACATCAATTTTTTCGAAAAAGTTGATTTATTTTTACTAATACTAAGTTTAGTTGATGGTAAAATATTGATGGAAATGTGTAGTAAAATTACGAAATTATCTATTATGTTCAAATATTGAAGCACACTCAGCGCAAGACATTTTGGTCTTAAAATTACGAAATTACAATAGTAGATCCCTGAGGTGTTTCAGACAAGTTATACTCCAAATCATACTTTTTGAGGTCACTTTGATCTTAAAATTGAAATTAGGGTCTGTCCATTCGCAAGATTAAAACAATACCATGGTTCAAAATGTATTTTTATTTTTCGGAGTCCATTACAAAATGATTTTCATGGGCAAAATAATATACTGATATTTGTTAAATTCAACACATACCAAATATGGTAAATATATTTTACCTACAACACTTTCCAAGCATCCTATCATATCCTCCATACCAAACCCTTTTTTTAAAAATGTGAATTTAACGAAGAGAGAGATATAGTTGATTGAAATCTATAAAAGAAATATTTATTTAATATATTAAGTTGTCACATTTATTTAATATTTGTAGCGTAATGCTGTATGCAATGACAATGTTTACTTGAGTTGATGGTTTATATGAAGATGAATGGGAACAGTGATCAAAGTGTCACTGTTGGCCAAAAAAATTATCAGAATATCACGTCAACAGTAAATTTTACCAAAATATCACGTGGTATATTTCGCTACACTGTGTAGCGAAATATGTGTGCAAATAATTTGCTACACAGTGTAGCGAAATATGCCACGTCAGAACCAAAAATGCCACGTGTCAAAATTGTAAAAATTTGCTACCCTATGTAGCGAATTTCTTCAATTTTGACACATGGAATTTTTGGTTCTGAACAGTCTGGCGTGGCATATTTCGCTACACTGTGTAGCGCATTATTTGCACACATATTTCGCTACACAGTGTAGCGAGATATGCCACGTGGAATTTTGACAAAATTTATTGTTGGCGTGGCAGTCTGGTAAATTTTTTGGTCAACAGTGGCAAAATGGTAACTGTTCCCAATTATCCTATGGAAAATATCAGAGAACCTAAATTATTTTCCTAGAATGATGTGAGGTGCTACATTTTTCGATGAGTGAGTGGGGTCCTAATTCCACTTAATTTCTCTAAAGTAAATACTCTTTTTGGTTTTCAGTAAATTTCACGATAGCCGCTTTAGTCTCTAGCAAATAAAAAGGCTATTCAAGGTCCTAAGAAATTCAAAATAGACCCATTTAGTTGAAATCGTGATCTCTCACAAATACAAAAAAGACCCATATTAATCCCTTAAAAGGAGTAAAATGGGTCCACTTTGAATTTTTTGGGGACCATGAATAACCTTTTTATTTGTTAAGGACTAAAGCGGACATCGTAAAATTTGCTAAGGACTGAAAAATGTATTTACTCTCTGACAATCATCCTTGAAATCCAACAAAAGTTAATCTTTTTTTGTTGTTGTTGAGTAACATTATTGTTATATTTTTAGGGTAAAGTGTGGGTCATTTTAAAGGATGTAAGTTATGTTATTTTAAGTGAGAAAAAAAGATAAACTATGAAAGAGAGAATGGACAAAAAAAATTAAAGATATGAGTTCTACCGTTTTATGAAAGTAAAATGACATAAATTATATAATTTAAAAGGATAAATATTTTTCTCATATATTTAATATCTGCAAGAAGGACGGTTTCGCTTAGTTTCAATATGCTTTTTCACCGGTTTCGCTTAGTTTCCATAAGTTTTGCCTCATATGTGACTAAGTCCTTCGTCCTCTCTCCTGTATTTAGAGGAATCATTTAATTTTCATAAATGTTATTAAATTCGTATGATTCAATGTGAGTATTAGGTTAATGAATCATTAGTTTAATCAATAATTCAAGCAAATCATTAGTTTCAATTAAATTTATATTAAAATATATAAAAAAATATAAAAAATACCATTATGCACACATATAGTATTGTTATAAAGAAGATGCAAGTTTGATTCCACTAGTGGTAAAGTTAGTCTGTATTTTACATAATCTTCAAAAATCAAAACTTGGTTTATACACCGGTTACATATTAGTTTATGGGTTTACTGTATATTCTTTGAAAGGACACAAGTTGTATCTTTTTAATTTTTTACACTGTACTATGGGTAGTACTAGTACATAGTTATAGTATGAAATATTATTATTTTTTTCACTTTTCATGTAAGCTGAAGTGACTGAAGAGAGAAAAAAATAATAATTTTTCATATTATAAATATGTATTATCTGTAATATACAGTGTTAAAAATTAAATGGATATATAACTTGTATTCTTTAAAGGGAAAACTTCAAAAACCCTCGTATAAGTTTCTTCAGAATCACTTATCCTCTCTCCAAAAAATTTAATCATTTACATCTTTACTTAAATTTTTCTTATCACTTATCCCCCTAACTTAATTTTCCATCCAAGTTAAAGTTAAAGGAGTTAATATTTAAAAAAAAATATCAAAACTATCCTTAAAAAAAAATAAACCCCTCCATGATTGAATTGTTGATTGGGGTCGGTTATTGTGTTTATATATATATATATATATATATATATATATATATATATATATATATATATATATTTGAATGAATCAAGAGCAGAACTCGCAAATCGCAAATCAATTTGAACTCGCAAATTGCAAATCAATTTGAAGTCGCAGAACTTCTTGAACTCGCAAATCGCGAATCAATTTGAACTCGGAAATGGTATATATATATTACATTGATCGTATTTAAACACCATTGATTTCATATCGGGTTTGTGATATGAAACTGCGTTTTATTCTTTGTTATATAGAGAATAAAAATCACTCAAATACAACCGAAAAGAATGAAGATTTATCGGTCCAAATCTTTGAGTGTTGTGTGTTTCTTTCATAATCCAAATTATATAAGCATCTACCAGCTAATCAGAAGCAGGAGCAGTCGAGACTAACTCTTGCCAGCAGTGAGATCTAGTGTTGTGTTACTTTTCTTTAAGTGTAGTTTTGGTATTTTTTTTTAAAAACTAACTCCGTTAACTTTAACTTGGATGGAAAATCAGGTTAGAGGGTAACTGATAAAAAAAGTTTAAATAGAGGTTTAAATGATTAAAATTTTTGAGAGGAGGTAAGTGATTCTGAAGAAACTTACAGAGGAATTTTTGAAGTTTTTCCTTCTTTAAAATTACAGACTTTTTTCCCTTAATTTATATGCATAACTAACCTATTAGCTGGACCGACTCAGTTAGGAGTACAATTCCCTCCTGAACCGATTCTCATAGATGCAGGTTTAGTATTCTAGTCCAAATAATTTATTTTTTTCCAAATTTCTTCAACTTTTTCTGATTACTTGATTGTTTAAGTTCGAATTGGGAGGATGACAAGAATAACAAATCTGTTATTACCATATTTTCTACAAAGTTAATTAGTACTCGAACTCACACAATCAATTAAGTTAAAATAATTAATTCTTCTAGTTCAAGTGTTCAACCACATGTTTGCCGAGTGAGTGAAAAATAATAAAGCCACAGAAAATACACCTGTTTAGGCATTAAGGAAACACATATGTGCTCCAAAAGTATTATGCGAGCGATGGGTCGTTAGCAACATTAATTCATATCAAGATGAAGACAAAATAGAGGGACACGAAATTGGAAAAAATTGGCGGTGGATGCCTGTAAAGTTTGGAAAAGCTAGGGGAGGTGCATGAAGAGTTTAGATAAGAAAATGAGAATTATCTACAAACACAATTTTCAAAGAAAGCCACAAAATACACCTCTTTAGCCATAAAGGATGAATGTTCCAAAAGTATTTAAGACATCTTACGAGTGATGAGTCCAGCCACATTAATTATATAAGATGAAGACAAGAATTGTATATGAAATTGAAAAATTTAGCGGTGGATGCTCATAAAAATTAAAAAAAAAAAATAACACAAGTGATGGTGCAGCCAAGATATAAAAAATAAAAGAGTTATTTCTCTAAGAAAAAATTAAAAGAGAGAGTCAGTAAAATGCAATTATCTGAGGGTGTTGTCGGTTATGCACTTAAAAAATAGCAAATATCGTATATGGAAAATCGCATTATAATTGTTGTATCATATTTGAATCGAATGAGAGTAGAGTTGTGAAATAATATTTGTAGGGAAAAAGAAGTATCATTTAAAAGGACACAAGTGTAACACCCTGTTACCGGACTGGCATGTTATCATCAAATATGATATTAAATGCAATTATAATCACAATAGATATTTGAAATTACGAGAAATTTTTTTATTTTTAATATCATTTGTACTTTTAAACTGACTGTGATCATAACTCAAAACTTATTACGGAATTACAAATACCGTAGCTTAATACCATGCAACTTACATTTAAGGATGCTAAGTGATTCCTATAAACCAACAAAGCTTAAAATTTATTTTATTCATGTTCAGTACAAGTGTCTTCACTCTTTTTCTTGTTATCCGATTAATTCCACACTTCCTTATTATTCTCATCTCTTCCTATGTTATAGATATCTTCGTTAGCTACGCGTGGATTCAAACTATGCTCAAATCGGAGCTCTGTAGCTCAAGTTATGCCAATTTTACCAAACTACGTTTTTGCTGTTTTCTGGAAGCGTGCTTGATGTAAGAACCCGCACCCTTTAAATTAGAA